GTCTTGGCCTCATTCCACCGGGCGCGGCCCGATCTGCCCAGATCGCGGGGCAGCTCAAAAGTAGGGGCCGGCCGGCATCCACATGCGTGTGGCTGGGGGGGGGGGGGTGCACGTACCGCCGGACTGGCGGGGTGTGTGTGTGTGTGTGCGGCCATGCGTGGGGAGGAGTATGATTTCAGGCGCCGCAGGTCGGTCCCATTCAACGGAAGCTCCTGTGGCTCAGTAGGTAGAGCGTGGGACTGTTAATCCCAAGGTCCGCGGTTCGATCCCGTGCGGGAGCGCGTCCTTCTCTTTTTGGGGCGGCGGCGGGCGTGTGCGCGTGTGTGTGGCCCCGGTTGTCGGGGGTGGGGGGTCGCCTGCCCCTTTCATTTTTCATGCACATCAGAGCATCCGGCGGCGGCGGCGGCGGCGGCACGAGACCTGGGGCGGGGAGGGCGTGCGTGTGGGAAATGGCAGGGGGGTGACCGGACCCCGGTGTGAGGGCGCGGCCGTTTCATGGAGGGGGGGGGACGGCAGGGGAGGGCCGAGTCGGGCGTTCGCGGCCCGCGGTCTGGGCTTTTCCGCGCCTGCGCGCCACCACCCGTCTGGTCCCCGGGGTTGGCCGGGCGGCGCCCTGGCGCGCGACTCGTGTGGATGTGGGGGGGGGGAATAAAAAAGGGCGTATTTCCTGCTCCCGGAAGAAGGGCCCCTGGCGGAGCCGGGCGGGAGTGTGAGAAGAAAACATCCCCCCCCCTCGGGCGTGTTTTTGGGACCCCCCCCCCGCTGCCGGTGCTTGTTATTGGTCCCGCCGAAGGGTTCCCAGTGTGGAAAGATCCCCCCCCCCGTCCCCCGGCCCCGGTGGCGGAGCCATTACGTGGACATTTCCGGCATCTGCCGGGGTGCGGCTGGACGGCTCCCCGTCGCGCTCCTGGGCGGGGGGGGGGGGGGCCGGCGGCCCCGGGGCCGGCGAGATCGAGGCCCCGGGACCAGCCCCCGACACCCGGCGCCGCGCGCCGACCGCACACGCCCGTAGCAACTGGCACCGATGCCGGGCCGATCTTCCGCCGGTCCGGCCCGCCCGGCGCCCCCCGGTCCCGGCGGCCGGCGCGTCATCTGAGCCAACCGGCCGCCGGGGGTGGCAAGCGGGGCGCAGGCCGGGGCGGCCCTCGCATCTGGGAATGCGTGGTATTTCCCGACACGGCCCCGCGGCCGGGGCCCGCTCGGACCGATCTGCGCGCGCCGCCGGGGCCGCCGGCGCGCCCGCGAGATCCCGCCCCGCCCGGGCTGACGGATTTCCTGCTGACATCACTCCTGCTGCCTCCCCGCCGGCGCCATGGTGCAGAGGGGGCCCGGCGTCCCTGCCCCCGCCCCCCCCCCCCCCTCCTCCGGGGAGGCCGGCCCCTCTGTCGGGGTGGAAGTGGGTGTGCGAGTGCATGCGGCGGCAGCCCGAGTGCGCCGGCGGGGGCGAGTGCGGGCGTATGTGTGTTGCTGCCCTCCACGCGACCCCGGTCCCCCAGACGGAGCCGAGACCGGGGTCATATTTATTGGACGCCCATGGCCCCCTCCGGCCGGCAGGGCCCCGGTCATTGTTTTCTCCTCCCTGCCTTGCTCCCTCCCTCTCCGACTGCCGCCCCTCCCTCCGTCCCCCTCTCCTCCCCGCCGACGCCTCCCCGGACGCCCTGCGCGTTAACCGGCCGCGCGGTCTCTCCCCCTCCGCTGCCCTCCACCATGTCGGGCTTCTTCCATCTGTCCGTCCGCGCGCCTGCCCCCCTCCTCCATT